AAAAAAGCGTAAATTGTGGTCCAAATTTAACAATAGATAATACATCTGCCCTGAATATTCTGCGGACTGGTTCATAATTTCTGCTTGTACAGGGTAGTTCACATTCGTGGCTCACCTTTATGATTTCCGTAAGGGTAAGAAATACCCTTGGCCGAAACCCTGCGCACTTAAAAATAAATTCCAAAAATAAAATATACAAAATAAATACAGTGTAGGTTAAATAGGGGCAAAGTTGAAATTTTTCAAAAATCTTTGAAAACAACTGATATCACCTTTTCACTTTAACTTTTTTGTGTGGCGGCACACTAAAATTATTAAACAAAATTTGCGGAACCCCTAAGTATTCTTATTTTTTATTTTTTTACAGTTAGTAAGAGGATGAGAGGTGTTTATTAAATAAATAATTTTCGTAAGTTTATTTCGAAAACAAACAATTTATTTTTCCAGCTAAACCTAAGGACATCTGGAAGCTTCTTCTTTAAATAATTTTTATCCAAAATTGTCATGCCTACTTTAAGTTAGGAAATTTTAGTTTCCATGGCCTCTGTGAGAGGCGGTAAAACTTTACCAGACTAATCTTTCTGCCGCCTATTACATTACCCGACCGGCCGCACCTGTCACATTGGCAATCCTGTCATCACTGACAGATTTACATTAATGAAAAGTTTATGAAAATTGAAATTTTATATTCAAAAGGACGATTTCGTGTAAAACTTAAAACAAAACGGTCAGTTTATCTTGATCCTGCTACAAAATTGATCAGGGGTACACTCTTTGTGATTGAGAACAAGACTTAAAAAAAAGTTTTGCTCGTTTTATGATCGAAATCACCTAAGCATATTCGGACATGTTTTCCTGCCCAAAAAGTGGCGCATGTATAATTGTGTAAACTGAAAGTAGATTAAAGGAAGTTTTTTTTGTAGATATAACGTGTCTCTGCCAGTATTAAATACTTACAAATTGCTGTGGTCAGCACCGGCGCATGCGTGAGGTCTAAGAATATGTGTACCAAATTTGGTTCCAATCGGTTCTACCTTTTAGCCGGAAATGAGAGGATAGACAGACAAACCGATATCATCGAGATTTTGTTTTATTCGAATTGCCGGTGCTTCAAAACGTGTATTTCCGTCAAAAATAGGGGTCATTGTTTACCCTAATGCAATACCCTGCTAGCAAAAGTGCGAGTGGTACAATGTTTGTTTTGCTTTGAATCACAGGAATTTACTATACAATTGACTCAGTTAATATATATAAAACTAATTCCAAATTTCAGTTTGGAACCCCGCAGTTGACTCCCTGTGGCAAAAGTCCAATCCCGTACTTGGACGAGCCTCCAGTACTAGTTACTAATAACCAAAAGATACTGTTTCAACTTTCAAAATTCCTAGAAGATGCGACGGTTCGATCTTGCTTATGTATTTTCCTATTTTGTATTGTACTGTGTAGGTAACACGGTTACATGCAAAATAGTAACAAGTTAATGACACGGGGGATATTTTTCATAGCAATTGTAGTGCGAGAACACCATTGTCGCTGAAGTAAAACGAAATATCTTCCGGAACGTCTAATTTTCAAAAGCGAGACTGCATTATTTTTTACTGTTTAAATTTCAACTCACATCGGGAGTTTATTATCACCGCAACGTGGCGGAGTAGCTGCTATAACTACAAAATAAAATTAATTGTGCGAAACCATCTTTTAGGTATAGGGGCGTAAATATCTCGAAACGGAAAGACACAGTATTGAAATGATTTATACTGCGGATGTAAAAGTGTGCCAAAGTATCTGAACTTTAAAGGTAGAGAACTAATTTGAGATTTTATTCGTGTTTGTCTATTCTCACATTGCACGAAGTTATTGAACTAGCGGTTTATCTAAAAGTTATGACAGTTTCTCAATATCTCTGGAATGAGCGGATTTAAACTAATATTAGATGTAGGTACACTTCTTGAACGTTATTGTTTTTTCTATATGATTTGATCATTTATCGATGATGGTGGACTATCAAATTCATTTGATTGTGATTCTTCTTTATAAGCAAAACTGGTACTTGGAAAATCAAGACAGACACACTCCATCAAAGTTGAAAGTCTTCAATTACGTGGCACCACCGGCAAAATGGGGATGAAAATTTTCATCAAGCTATTTTCGTGTAAGGTTCAGTGGGTAATGAATTAATCGTAGAATAATACATAAGAATACGGAAGTTCACACTGAGCTTACCAATAGCGGTTTTATGTACTCAATTTTGGTTGTACTTATTGCTTATCAACAAGATGGGGCACCAGCGCAGAATGCAGTGATAATTTCTAACTTAGATAAACAAGGCGTTAAAAATTTACAATTGTTCTTTATAGTTAAACAAGTAATTTAATAATATAATACAATCTGCTGTACGCCATTTTAGTAAAATATATTAAAATGTTTATAAAGATATCATGTGAAAAACTAAATTATTGAAAAAGGCTATTGGTTGGATTTAAATTTTTTCGACTCTCTCGCAGAAATAAGTAAATTAGAATCTGTAAAACATTTTAAGGTTCTGAAGGGTCTTTCCAATCAAATTTTGGTCGTCATAATGTACATCACACAATTGATTGCTTACTTACTTATTTTTTAATTAAGTCTGCAAGAATCTGTAACAGTGAATCGCTGCTTTTGACTACATGAGCAGCAACACGTTAGCAAAGTCCCCAATAGTTTTTAACTCCGAGATATCTTCAGCCATTGTAATATACAAACCGCACTCCTCATGTATCAGCAGTTAAATTGACACCAAAGATATCTTTTCCAAAAAGAGATTGATTAATTGATAACAATCTTAAACTCTTTGATTATGTCCAAACTGTCCAAGATATAATAGATGCCAAACAAATATCCGTCGCTTCTAGAATTTTCAACAACCAGATTTGCATTTACTAGCGTTGATCTAGTAGAAACTATTAAGGTAGCATCCTATTATAACAAAAGTTTTTTGTTCAATTGATCATTTTGAATTATAACATCCATATGGTCATTAACCATGATGATTTTGAAAAGCGAATATTTACTTCAATTGCAAAAATGGAATGTTTTATCTGTAAATTGCCAGGGCACGTTGCTTAAAATTGTCTAAATCCTCCTGCTAATAGCATACCTCCTCTTCCCTCGCAAGCATCTCCTAGTCAAGGAATTTCTGATCCCTTTTAACACAAGAGCCTCCTACCCAGGCAAATCCTGGCTTTATAAAAACCACTGCACATATATCTATGCTATCCCACCCTTAAATCAGATCGCTAGACAAAAACGTGGTTTAGACGAAATTTTAACTCCAACTGATTAGAATAGCCATAATGATGATCTATATCTACTCTTTCCGAACAAGACATTACGCCTCTCCCAAAAGTCCCTCCCGGGAAAACCAAAGCAAAAAAGGAAAATCAAAAAACTTGCAGTTGCAGTTGCAATCACAACATGGTGCCCCCTTTCCCCCCTTCAAAATTAGTATTTGTAGCATTTCCATCCCCTAAAATCACAACCTTACCTAAACAGAACTACCTAATCTCATAAACCAAATCGCGGTCCCTTTTATCCTTGTAGGATATTTTAATGCTCACAGTACGACGGGAGTATCACAGGGAAAGGCACAATTGTAGAAAACTCAATAATTACCAATTGCAGCAGCAATCTTTTAATCAATGGCAGTAACACACACTTTAACATATTATCAGGAACTTTTCCAGTAGTCAATCTCAGTTTTTGTGGTCCAAAGATCTATCCACTTCTCTCCTGGAATACTATAGAAGGCCTTTTTGATAGCAACCATTTTCCTATTCTCGTTACAGATAATAAACCAAAAATAGCTAATGCTGTCACCAAATGTAAAACTGCTAATGCTAATTGGCCCTTATTTAGCTTATGTCTCAAAGAAAAAATAGACCAATTAATCTTCACGATAGTTATTTGTGCAACCAGTTGAGAAAAGCATTATTTTTCGTATCAGCGGATTTCTGCGGAAACGAGCGAAGCGCCCAACGTGTTTCACACAATATTTTTTCTAATTGTCACATTTAAAGTCATACTTTTGATCAGCAGTTGCGAAATATTTTACTTTTCACAACCGTAAGGCATTTGACAACGTCAACGAGTTTTAAAAAGGGTCGCTTTAAATGTCAAAATTAGAAAAATAATATTGATGTAGCAGTAAATGAATTTCCCTACTGCATAATTGTTCAGTTGAAGAAAACTCACCATTAACCCCTCTAGAAAAACTGTTCTGGTGGAACGATGCCTGCAAATTACCAGTCAAAGAATCCAAGAAGATGCTATAACAAGTATCGTGGAACTTGTTCACAATCGGATTTAAGAGAGCAAAAATCTGAATACCAAACGATCCTCGAGATCTTCGCACATACAGCATTTTTACAACACACCTTAAAAGATTGATCAGCATAGCTTTGTGAAACAAATTTTTGAATCGGCATTAGTTTTGCCGTTATTCGAGGTGCGTACATACGAAATTTCATGCAATTCGGTTCGGGTTAAATCGATATTTTTTTTCAAATGTTCAAAAACTCATTTCGTATTCGCGATGTTCATGTTCAAAAATTCCCAGATACCAAATTTCGTCGAAATCAGAAACGTTTTCGCACCCCAATTTAGGGATGCGACCTTTTGTGGTATGAATTTTGAAAAAAATTACAGAATCAGAAAGGGCCACTAGTCTTTCTAACTCTTATGGTTGCTGAGAAAAAAAATTAAAGAAGAAATGCAAATTTCACCACTTCTGTGACCCTCTGTTTATTTGGAAAAAGTGCTTGTTTTGATCCCCTCTACGACCCAATTTTTTTACATACTTATATGTAACACCCCGTATACAAAGGTTGCGTTTTTATTGAATTTTATTACTATATTACTCTGACTGTAGTTGAGTCTCGGTCATATTTTTTTTGTGAGATATTCTAATTAGTGTAAAGAACATTCTGTAAAATTTTCACTTGTTTTCATTAAGTCCCTTTTCAGATATTGACCGAAGAAAATTGACTTTACCATACTTTCGGCCATTTTTGAAAAGCCATAGAAAAAAGGGAGTGCATTCTCAAGACTAAAACTTTGCTGCAGGTAGTATTGTAAGTACTCCACACAGAAATAATATATTATTAGTGAGTCTCTTCTCTTTCCTAAAAATTGTTTTGGTTCTAACTGACTTTCTTGCATGATAGGGAAATTAAAATAATGTAAGGGCGCAAAACAAATTGTTTGATTCGGAATTACTGTTACTTTTATTCCAAGTGTCTATTTACAAAATTTCATTTAAATAACTTAACAAATAAACAAATTGCGATTGCGCAAGTACAAAAGTTTACTTACACAAAAAAGCTGACATTCATATGTTCTTTGTAACAAGAATTGTAAAAGAAACCTCTTTTTGGAGGTTTTGACAGTTATTGGGCTGTAACTTTTTGGCTCGTCAGTCTACATAGCCGAAAAACTTTTGCGACATTTCTTATATCCTGAAGAACATGTGTATCAATTTTCAAGGCGATCGGACGTTTCTATACAAAGTTATCGTGCACACGGACAGTCAGACGGACAGACAGACGGACAGACAGACAGCAATACAAAATTATAAACCATCTCGAGGATCGTTAATAAAGAAAGTGAAAGATTACTCTACTTCACATAAAATCCCAGCACTTAACCATGAAGGAAAAATCAAAATTTTTAATATTCCCCTCTCAAGATGTGCTCACCCTGCTTCTTTGAATTTCCCCTTTACGGTAACCGAACTAAATCAGTGATACAGCGATATCTGTGTCAAAAGCCTGGAAGGAGCTCTCTCCTGATGGTAAATAAACGTATTATTTGGTATATAGAAAAATTCAATATCCTAAATCAATCACAGTCGGGTTTTAGATCAAATCGCTTCACGTTAGACAATCTTGTTCTCCTGCTTCTCCCAAGCCATATCAAATAAATGTGACGTAATTGTTGTTTGGCTAGATATAAAAAGTGCGTTGAAAAGTACTACCCTCACAAACTTAAAGAAATACATTCATAGAAAAATTTTTGAGCAAACGATTTTGTAGAGTTAGCACAAATAGTTAAAAGAATCCCTAACACACACTACAGAGAATGGTTCCACAAGGTTTGATCCTGAGCACTATTCTATTTCACTTGCCATTAATGATGTTTGTTCTTCTGTTCTACCTCCAGTTAAATATTCTATCTATGTCGATGACCTGATCCTATTCTGTCAAGACAAAGAAACCATTAGTATCTGTAATTTACTACAAAAACGCCATACATTTATGGTTTCTACAATAGTATATTATAGTATATTATATTATGAGGAGCTAAATAGTATATTATATTATGAGGAGCTAAAGTGATACTTTTTATGGCGAGTCAGTGTTTGATGGCCGAGCGAAGCGAGGCCAGCAAAATACTGACGAGCCATAAGAAGTTACTTTAGCTCCGCATAATATATGCTATTTTTTCTTCAAACGTGAGAATAACGCCCAAATAATGGTTTTCAAATCGGAAGAAATATTAACCCGATCGTTATGGGTAGCCGTGAGCGCGTCGGCCGTGGTGACTATAACAATTGCTATAGTTGGCCATTATTAGTTTTGACGTTTTAATTGTGGACGAGTTTTTCGATTTCAAATAAAAATGAAATTGCACAAAAGATACTTTCGACAACTTTAGAAAATCCAGGTTTATCAGATGGAATGACTTCAACTACTCCTTCATTTGAAGCAGAAACCAATCCAGTTTTTTGAAAATACTTCATTCATTCATTAGAAATAAGACGAGCCAAACAAAACTTGACTCTTCAAAACTTGGATGCTGCAGGAACGAAGGTTTAATTTCAATAATGGTACTTTCAACATTAACTATTATTTAAATAAATAAATAGCTTCTTTGATCGACTATATTTTTATTTCTGTTAAAATCAGAAGGAAAGATCAACGCACTTGCTAGGTGAACCAAGAACCTAATGTAAATAACATCAACTTGTCAAAGCAAAACAATGTGACACTGGCACTGAAGCGTTTTATTGCCTAGGCACTAAAATACTATTTTCTATTTCTCTCCCATATCTAAAAGTAAATGTGTGCCAGCCACATACCTAACTTAAATTTAAACCGTAAACCGTTACAATTAGTTGACAATCTTAAAATCCTTGGTGCCGTCTTCGACAAAAGACTCCAAATAGGTCAAACTAAGGGAAACTGTGTCAAAAGATTTAACATCTTAAACTCACTAGATCATTATCAATCGGGAGCTGACGAAGAACCTTTGTTTAAGGTTTACAGAACATTGATGTGCTCGCGACTAGGTTATGGCAGCACATTTTATATGACCGCTAGTAAATCCAACCTAAATTGTCTCAATATAATCTAAACGACTCTAAGAATCTGTCTCGGAGCCTTTAGTTGAAGCCCCTCATTTTCATTCGCAAAGAATGACTGCTACTATCTTATCCCGCTGTGTATCTGCAAATCCGAACAATCCTATTTACCAACTAATAAATTCCACACCTCCCTCCCCCAGAAATATCCTAAGAATCCAAACCCCCAGACCCTATCAACCTTATGGAGCCACATCGACCTAACCAAAGCAACCCCAACTCAAGCTTCAAACACTTCGCACGCAATTGCGTCAGCCAAAATGATCTTTTTAGAGATGTAATTAATTTCAATGGATGTCATGACATTATATTATTTGTACGGGGTTGTTTTTAGAATTGAATTAGTTATTCATTCTTTTAGAAAAATTCAATACGCAGTTCTGTGTCAGTGTCAGTCAAATGTGAAACCGTTCTTTGTGTACGTTCGATAACAATTTTCATTTTATTGAATATTTAATGTACATAATGAAATATAATCAAAATTTAAATTAAATTTTATGAAATTAAATGAACTGAATTACTTGTTCAAACGGTCTTACTAATTCAAACAGACACTTAACGACAAAATGGGGCCGTGGTCTGGCCGTGTCGCAAAACTAAAAACCATAATATGCGACTGCTATTTCATTTTCTGTCGATTTTGGGTAGAAACTTTTGTTCTATTTGTTATTTGTACCTTTACAAAAGAAAATACTCCACTTAACGAAACATAACGATTTTTTAAATCATAAACTTCATACAAAACATTATTTTATCAGCAAATGTATTCACGTTAGGTAACAAAGAAATCGGATCTTCAAGACGCGTTTCGCAACAATAACATGTTGTTAGTATTAGATGGTTCACGAAAGGAACGTATGAAATTTGATTTGAAATTGAATTCATAAAGTTGTAGTAACACGAATAAAATGTCGTGTAGCAGTATAGCAGGAACGTTGAGTTCAGAGTAATTTTGTAAAAAGCCTGTGTCTACTATAAAAATTTAAAAATAAAAGGACTTGAATATCAATATTAATAAATGCAAAAGCAAGCTACTTTTTGTGCGACGGATCGAGGTTTTATTAGCACTCATTTTATGCTACAATTTCATTAGGCAGGAAACTTTTTGTGCTGAAATATAATTTGCATGCAAATGCTAATGCTTCACACCCGAGCATTCTACGATGATTTCTTTGTTTCAAGCCAATAAACACAGACGAACGGACAGTCCAAAATGGAACGGTTTCGAATTTTCCAATTCTGTTTTTAGTGATAGGTAGACGATGGTCAAGGGACTAACTGATTAAATTTTGGTAATTTGCACTTTCTCTCCGTTCGTCTGTGTTTGTCGCTCGTTGCCTGTATTGTTTGTATCTAAAAAACTTGGAGCTTTTTAAATGCAACTTTTCATTCCAAATGTCAAATTTCAAATACATCATTTTGATTTTTTGACCATTTTTTGTAAATATCATAGTAAAGTCTACGAGTAGTTTTTATACAAACTCAAAATTTGGTTACATATGATGCAAAGTTTATTTTTAGAAATTGATCTACCGTTGTAGGTATATCCGTGGTAATTGTAAACAAGAAGAATAAATTAAATTCGCAATTAACATTGAGCGTTATTTTCTCCGAGTACTGAATTTCAATTTTGCTTGGGAATGGACGCTTATTGTATATTGATATTTTTAAGAGGGTCGAATATTGCAATGTAATCCGCAAAATGAAATTGAGCGTGAGATGTACATAATTATTTTCCTTTTACATTTTTCGTGAAATTGATTGAATTTAAAGACGGCAACGTGAAATGAAAGTACATTTTCCCCCTACATTTCTTTGAGCCTCTTTTCATTTTATGTGGGGACTATAATGAAATTGTACTTTCCGTATTTCCCTTGATTTCTATCTTCATCGCAATTTCGTATGCTATTTCTTACCAAATTATATGGATCTCGGCGGCAATAGTATTCCAATATAGCTATAACATGTTTCAAATACATTGCCATCCTCAAGGCACAGATATAGGTAGATATACAAATTCTGGTAAAACAAAATCAATTCGTATGTACAGTGTGTCCGATTGTAGTCGAGACTATGGCCAAATATTGGTATTTTCGAAATGCAACACCCTGTATATCTTGACATCAATTACTTTTCATTCTTTTTCCCGATCACAATCTGTATTTTATTAAATTCTTCAAGCCATGATGTTGAATGAAACAAGTGGTTTTACAGCAAAACGGGTGAATCTACGAAGATGTAGTAAGATTATTGTTGAAATTATTGTTATAAAGCTTACCAATACCATTAATATTTGGACTTGGTGAGTGACATTACCATGGCAATCCATAAATAGCCCACTTAATTAAACATGTTCGAGTATAACGTCAATATGAATTTATTTTACTTCTTATTTTTAAATTATATTGCAGGTATTATAAACAATACTATAAGAAACACGTATGTAATTGATCTTTGAAGCACTTGCGTTGAAAGGCACACCACTGCCATAGTCATTTTCTCAACATCTGTATTTAGCTTCAAGTAATTTTCCGTCTGTAAAAACGGTTAGGTATATAATGACTGAATGTGGACAACGGTTAGTGCACATTCTGAATTTCTGATCCATACAAATCGCAATATGCGCTTTATGGTGCTCAGGAGTCGTGCAGAAGCTGAGTTTTCTGAGCATAATTAATAATTACGGGTACTTTTTCGCATATAGCCCCTTTC